TCTCTGTCTCAAAAAAAATAAAACGTTAAAAAAAATTAAAACAAAAAAACAATTGTTATGGGAAATTTCAAAGACCTATAAAAGTAGAGAGAGTGGTATAATGAACCCCCATAGGCCCATCACCCATCTGTGTAGATATCGTTGTTCCACCAATGCTCCCCCCATCTATTTTCTTTTTTTGGTGTTTTAAAGTATATATATACCAGGCATCATGTGATTTTACTCCTAGTTACTTCAGTAAGCATCTTTATCAAGTAAGGACTTAAAAAAAAATTTACAAGGGCACCTGAGTGGCTCAGTCGGTTGAGCATCCGACTTCAGCTCGGGTCATGATCTCACAGTCTGTGAGTTCGAGCCCCATGTCGGGCTCTGTGCTGACAGCTCAGAGCCTGGAGCCTGCTTCAGATTCTGTGTCTCCCTCTCTCTCTGACCCTCCCCCATTCATGCCCTGTCTCTCTCTGTCTCAAAAATAAATTAACGTTAAAAAAAAAAATTCAGAAAACCATTGGGGTACCTGGGTGGCTCAGTTGGTTAAGCTTCTGACTCTTGATCTAGGCTCAGGTCATGATCTCACTGTTCGTGAGACCGAGCCCCACATAGGTCTCTGCGCCGACAGCTCAGAGCCTGCTTGGGATTCTGTCTCTCCATCTCCCTCTGTTCCTCTGCTGCTCACACTCTGTCTCTCAAAATAAATAAATAAACTTAAAAAAAGAAACATTGTCATAAACAAACCACACAATAATTCCTTAATATCAGTTAATTCCTAGCCCATATTAAAATTTTCCCAGTTGTCTCAGTGATGTTATTTTACAGCTGGTTTGCTTGAATCAGGGTCAAAAACAGTTCTATATATCATATTTGGTTGTTGCATCTACTTGGGTTGCTTTAACAAAATATCACAGAATAGATGTCTTAATATTTATTTTCCCACAGTTCTGGAGGCTAGAAGTCTGAGATCAAGTCTAAGATTAAGGTGTTTGCAGGGTTGGTGTCTAATGAGAGCTCTCTCTTTGTGGTTGCAGATGGCCACTTCTGGTTGTGTCCTCATGGAGGAGAGAAAGTGAGCTCTGGTGTTGCTTCCTTTTCTTAAAAGGACACCAGCATATCAGGTTAGGGCCCTATGTTAATGATCCCATTTAACCATTATCACCTCTTCACAGCCCCTATCTCCAAATACAGCTTACTCTGAACAACTGTGTGTATTGGGGGTGGGGGGTGGCTATAGGCGTTGACCCCGCCCCCAGCAGTCGAAAATCTCTGTGTACTTGACTTTCCCACAACTTAACCATTCATAGCTTACTGTTGACTGAAAATCTTACTGATAATGTAAACAATGATTAACACATGTTTTGTTATATGTATTACATACTGTATGTTTACAGTAAGCTAAAGAAAAAATATTATTAAGAAAATTAATCATAGGGGCGCCTGGGTGGCTCAGTCGGTTAAGCGTCCGACTTTGACTCAGGTCATGATCTCGCGGTTTGTGGGTTCCAGCCCCACGCTGGGCTCTGTGCTGATGACTTGGGAGCCTGGAGCCTGCTTCGGATTCTGTGTCTCCCACTCTCTCTGGCCCTCCCCTGCTTGTGCTCTGTCTCTCTCTTAAAAATGAATAAACATTAGGGGCGCCTGGGTGGCGCAGTCGGTTAAGCGTCCGACTTCAGCCAGGTCACGATCTCACGGTCCGTGAGTTCGAGCCCCGCATCGGGCTCTGGGCTGATGGCTCAGAGCCTGGAGCCTGTTTCCGATTCTGTGTCTCCCTCTCTCTCTGCCCCTCCCCCGTTCATGCTCTGTCTCTCTCTGTCCCAAAAATAAATAAACGTTGAAAAAAAAAAAAGAATAAACATTAGAAAAAAAAAAAAGAAAATCATAAAGAAAATACATTTATAGTATTGTACTGTAAAAAAAAAAAAACCCAAAACCCTGCATATAAGTGGACCCTCACAGTTCAAACTTGTGTTGTTCAAGAGTCAACAGTTTAGTCACACTGGCCAGGAAGGCTTCAACAATGAACTTGGGGGGTGGGGTGGGGCGCGTATCACAGGCATTCAGTCCACAACAGTTTTGTCTCTTGTCTCTTTTATTCTATAAGTGCTCCCCCCAGCCCCCCAAATGGTACTGGTTTGTCACTTGTTCTGTAGAATTTCCTACATTCTGTATTTGGCCAAGTATTTCTTCATCGTGTCACTTGATTAGGTTTGGATTTAAATTTTTTTCTGTAATACTTTATAATAGTTGTTACCATTCACTTTATTAACAGCAAGCAAAAACCTATGTAATACAAGCCATAAAAACAGGTACAAATTTCCATTTGTATTTTTCAGAGTCCAGTTTGTAGGATGCAGGTCTAAAATTGCTCCATCAACCCATTTTAAAGTTTATTTATTTATTTAGTGAGAGAGAGCGGGGGAGGGGCAGAGAGGGAGAGAAGGAATCCTCAACAGGCTCCGCACTGCCAGCACAGAGCCCGGTGTGGGGCTTGAACCCCCAAACCGTGAGATCATGACCTGAGCCCAAACCAAGAGTCGGACACTCAACCAACTGAGCCACCCAGGTGCCCCTCCATCAACCCATATTAAAGAGCACTGTTAGCTTCAGGGTTAACCTGTAAAACCTTCAGATTTTATTAAAATCGTATGGGTTTTTGACAATTCAAGAGTCTGTTTTTGGATTTTAATAAACTAAGTGAATTACCTACTTTATTTTTAATTTATTCAACAAAAACTCCCATAACATTGAGAGAAGTTTAACCTTGTAGTGCTCAGAAACTAGGATTAAAAATTGCATAATCACAAGAGAAGAAAGAGGACTTTTATGGGAAGGACCCAAACATCCTGGGAGGAGGTAGCAGTGGACCTGACCTTGTGGGACATGAAGTATTTAGATGTTTGGGAGAAAATGGGGAAGGACATTATAAACCGAAGGAACCTATGACCATAGCAAAGGATGGCCCAATGATTAGAGTTTCTTTTTTAAAAATTTTTTTTTAAAAATGTTTATTTTTGAGAGGTGGGGGAGGGACAGAGAAAGAGGGAGACACAGAATCTGAAACGGGCTCAGGCTCTGAGCTGTCAGCACAGAGCCCGATGCGGGGCTCGAACTCAAGAGTTGTGAGATCACGACCTGAGCCGAAGTCAGACGCTTAATCAACTGAGCCACCCAGGTGGCCTGATTAGAATTTCTACTAGTCACAAGAAAGGGATTCTCTAGAGCCGGTCCTTAGGGTGCAAGAGAAGTCTGGACAGATAGGTTGGCAGGTGGATTATCAAGTACCCTGAGATCTGGGCTTTATAAGTGATAGCGAACCATCAGAAGTGTGTGCGCCATTGTCCCAAAAGCCAGGCTTTTTTAAACTTAATTCTTACAAAAGTAGGCAAGGATCAGATCACTGGACTAATGAGAAAAATATAGATTAAATGATTTCTTCGAGATACCCAGCAAGTCTGTGGTGATGATGATGACAACAGTAATGAAAATAGTAACACCTGACATTCACTGAGCATTTTCTATGGCCAGGTCTTATTCTAAGCATTTTATAGACATGATCCCATTTTTTCCTCTCAACAGCCATAGGAACTAGGTACTGATATCATCTCCATGTCACAGATGAAGAAATCTGAGACAGAGCACTTTGGTAACTTGTCCAAGAACAGCTTGTAAGAAGCTAGGCCAGGAATGGAGCCTGGGCCATTTAGCTTCAGCCTGTGCCTTTAGTTGCTGGCTTCCTAGGCAGCTGGGTTTTTTAAACAGGCAAGTGACTGGATCAGAATTGTAGCGACACTGTGTGGCTCCAGTGTGGATGATGAATCGAAGAAGAGAGAGACCAAGGATAGGAAGGCCCGAGAGGAGGCTGTAATTGTCCAAATGTATGTTGGTGAGAACTTGAGTTGGAAACAGGTGAGGTCTATTTGGAAGACAGAATTAGGGCCTGGTTGGGATAGTACACAGTATGTTATGTTTGGCAATTTACTCATCGTCTCCCTTACTAGACTGTAAGAAATCTGAAGGCAGGGACTGCCTGTCACTGCTCAGTCCTCTGCCTTGAACATCACAGGTACTCAATAAATATTAGTTGAGTGAAAGCATTAGAGAGGATGGAGTCTTAGTGACTCCAAGCCCTTTAGCATGGGGAGTCGGGGGGGGGGCGGGTGTGGGGCTGGTGGTGATCATTCATCAAGGCAGAGAGAATGGGCATTGGAGCAGGGGGAGGGAATGTTGATGGGGAGAGATGCTGTCGAGTTGGGGCACGTTCGGTTGGTCTGGCTGATGGTCAAGTGTAACCACAGCAAACACTTTGGTAGACTTACTGTATTCTGGGTACCGTTCTAAGTGCCTTTCATACATAGGTGCCTTTGTTATCCAGAATCAGGAAATGAATAATTCCGGGTAGCAAGAGGCATTATATGATTTAAACTTCACTACAACCCCGTAAGATAGGCACTGTGATCATCATCATTATTCCCACTTAGGAGATTCAGCTGAGCCACGGAAAAGTGAAACAACTGGTCTACAGGACCATATAAATAGCAGTCAAAAAGTACTCTGTACGGCACCATAGGATTGACATCCCTGAGTCTTCAGTCTTCACCAGTGACAAGAGTGAGCTTTAAGGCTTTAAGGCCTCAAAAGCTCTTTAAAGCCTAAAGGCTCTTGAAGGGTGGTGCATGGGGACTGGGCTGGTTCAGGCTGTGTCAGAAGTGCTCTCAGAGCCCACTGAGTGGGCTGTGTGCTCAGCCCAGCCTTCAAGGACTGTCCCCACTCCCTGCCCCTATTCATCTCTAGCTGTATCTGCTCACTCTCAGCTACTTTGGGTCCCACCCAGTCCCAGAACAAAGGGGATTTGCAGGGAGGACTAGAAGATGGAATCAGAAAAGGAGGTGTTCTCTGAGGGCTGGGTGAATTCTAGTTGTATCTTCCCTATAACTCTATTTGTCTATTTTTCCCTTTCTTTTTCTCTCCCTCATGCCCTTTCCCCTCCCTCCTCTCCCCATCTTCCTCAGCTGTGCTGACTGTCCTCACCCACACCCCCACCCCTCGGATCCGACTGGGACAAGATGCTCTGCTGGACTTGAAGTTTGCCTACATGCCCCCCACCTCTGAGGCCGCTACATCTCTGGCCCCAGGTCCCCCTCCCTTTGGGCTGGAGTGGCGACGCCAGCACCTGGGCAAAGGGCACCTACTCCTGGCTGCAACGCCTGGGCTGAGTGAGCAAATGCCACCTGCCCAAGAGGGGGCAGTGGCATTTGCTGCTTGGGATGATGATGAGCCGTGGGGTCCGTGGACTGGAAATGGGACCCTCTGGCTGCCTGCAGTGCAGCCCTTCCAGGAGGGCACCTATCTGGCCACTGTACACCTGCCATACCTGCAAGGGCAGGTCGCTCTGGAGCTTGCTGTACAGAGTGAGTTGGGGTCCAGGGGTCCCCACGGGTAAAGGATGGGCACTGGCATTATGGGGACATCATGATGGAAGAGGGATAGGGGAGAAGAGGGTGCTGGGCGAGTGATGGGAGGTAGATTGGGGTCCCTGGGCTTCCGAGGGGCAATGGTGGAAGTCCCTGGGAATCTGAGTGACTGGGATAAAGGTTCCCAAATCTGAGGAAGAGGTGTCCCTGGGATTGAGGGTTTTAGCATGGGAATCCCTCTGAAGCACCAGTGGGGAGACAGCGGGTTCCCCATCCTAGGAGAGAAAAACTCAAACCCAGTTTGGGGGAAGCCATGGGGCAAACTGAGGGTCTCCATGGGAGGACAATGTGGATTGATTCCCCCCCTGCTCCTTTCATGTTTTCTCCCCAGAGCCACCCAAAGTATCCCTGACACCGGCACCTCTTGTATGGGCTACCCGGGGGGAGGCACCCCCCCAGTTGCAATGCCTCGTGTCCCACTTCTATCCCTCTGAGGGTCTGGAAGTGGAGTGGGAGCTCCGAGGTGGCCCAGAGGGCAGCTTTCAGAAGGCTGAGGGGCAGAAGTGGCTCTCTGCCCTGCTCCACCACTCAGACGGCACCGTCAGCCTCTCCGCGCACCTGCAGCCGGTCCCCGTAACTGCCGAGCATCATGGGGCACGCTATGCCTGTCGTGTCCACCACCCCACCCTGCCGGCCTTGGGGCGCAGCGCAGAGGTCACCCTGGAGGTGGCAGGTAAGAGCCAGGAGGAGGATGGAGTGACCGGAGCGGGGAGGGGGGGCAGGGGAGGGGG